TAAACATTATATTATATATTACTTATAATAGTAGTTAATTGTTAGACTTCTCATTTATCTATTAAATTAGTTAATTGTTACATTTCTCTACATTTCTCTACATTTCTCTTTAAAGAAAAAAATAGTTAAAGTAGTATATTTTTACATTTGTCATATTTCAATTAGTTAAAGTACTTAATTGTTTCATTTGTCATATTAAAATTAGTTATTTCATACATTGCTCATTAAAGTAAAAAAAAACTAGTTAAGTTTTACATTTGTCATAATAATATTAGTTAAACTACTTAATTGGTACATTTTTCATATTAATATTAGTTACTTGCTACATTTCTCATTAAAGTAAAAAAAGTAGTACATTTTTACATTTGTCATATTAATATTAGTTAAAGTATACATTTCTCATTAAGGTAAAAATAACTAGTAAATTTTTACATTTGTCATTTTAAAAACTACCTAAAGTAGTTAATTGTTAAATTTGTCATATTAATATTAGTTAAACTACCTAATTGTTACATTTCTCATATTAATATTAGTTAATTTGTACATTGCTCATTAAAGTAAAAAAAAACTAGTTAATTTTTACATTTCTCATATTTATATTAGTCAAACTAGTTAATATTTAGTTAATTGATACATTTCTCATTAAAGTATTAATTAGAAGTAGTTCGATTTTTATACTCATATTTTAGTTCGAATTTGCAATAGTTTTCTTAGTCACATTTTATTATTACTATTGTACTCATATAAAATATTTGATATCATTTAATATTTGTTCAATTTCAAAGATGGAACGTGGTAGACATTCTGTAGATGTGGGTAATCTCCAACGCAACCGCAAGAGGGAGATTGCGTCGACTCGTCCTACTTCACGCAAAGGCAAAGGTAAAGCGCGGGCCGAGTCTTCTTTTCAAAGTCGAGATGATTTTGAAACGGATTACCAACGGAGAGATGATATGATGATGTCCGACGAGCATCTACAAAACCTATTGTCCCAAAACGATCCACGCTTTGCACAAGAACAACCCATCCCGACAACCATTGATGAAGAGGAGCTCGAGGATGACGATGCGGAGGAGGACGCGGGGGGCGACGGGACTCACGGTACCCCGGATGATGACCAAGACTTGGAGGACGAGGGCGGTTCAACCCAAACTGGTAAGAAATCTAAATCTCCTATTATTGAAAACAATTTTACAAAAAGGAAAGACAAAAATACCAAAAAATGGTACGCAAGTTGCAATCATTGCGGCAAAGAGTATAGCTTGGGAACTTCTGGCGGATACGGGAGTCTCACAAGGCATCTTAAGTCCGCCCATCTTGTGGAGTATGCGAAAATAGACAAGGGCAAGGGGAAGCAAACACAAATATCGAGGTTTGCAAATTCTCAATCCTTTGGTAATTTCTCCTATGATGATCAAAAACATTTGACTGGTATGTCTCATTTAATTGTTGAAGAAAATTTACCCTATATTTTTTCCGAAAGTCTTGCTTTAAGAGATTATGCTCAAGGCACTTTAAATCCTCAATTTAGAAATTATAGTCGCAAAACGATTAAAAAAGAAGTTATAAGGCAATATAACTTCGAAAAAGAAAATTTACAAACATTTTTCGCAAACTTTAATGGACGTGTTAGTATTTGTAGCGATATATGGGAGGATACTTATCATCATTTATATTATTTGGGTCTTATTGCACATTATATTGATGATGATTGGAATATGCATAAACGTGTTCTTGCTTTTTGTGAATTCAATGATAGTCATACTGCTGATAATATTTATATTCTCATTGAGCGTATTTTAATTGAGTATAATTTGCTTGAAAAGGTGTTTGCTGTAGGTTTTGATAATGCTAGTAATAATACTGCTGCTATACCTAGATTGCGTGAATTGTGTGGTGCTTCTACATTGATGGGTAGGTTTTTTCATCAACGTTGTGCATGTCATATTCTAAATTTGTGTGTACAAGATGGATTAGCGCCATTAGGACATGCTTTGGAGGTAGTGAAGGGGGGAATTAAATTGATTTGGGCTAACACTCCACTAAAAATGCAATGGCGGCAATATTTGAAGGAAAGACGTGTCAATTATTGTGCTTTTCCTAAAGATTTGTCTATTCGTTGGAATAGTACTTATAACTTAATTCAAGTACTTATTAGATATAAAGATCATTTTCCTGCTTTTTTAAGGAAAACTTGTAACTATATTATAAACCCGGCTGACATCGACACTTGTGAAAAAATTGTTAATGTTTTGGTATATTTTAATAACGCAACTCAAACTTTTAGTCATGTTTATAAACCTACCGCAAACGAATTTTTGGTTGAAGCTGTTAATCTCGCCGGCGCATTTTTAGAATTTTCCGATGCCGCTTACGTTAGTTATTTTTGTGATTTCATGAAACAAAAATTTTTAAAATATTATTCACATGTTCCGCATATATATGGTATTACATTTGTTCTTGATCCTCGTTATAGACTTGCCGCGTTGCCAACTTGTATAGATTAATATTATCATTGTTTTTTCCAACTCAAGAGTTCGATGATAATCCCATCGACCCTAAACAAGAATACAACGAGGTTAGTAATTTATTTCATCAATTGTATAATGAATTTTATGCACAATATGGTAATGCACCCCCTCCCATGCCGCGAACATCTTCTTCATCTAAAGGAAAATCACTTTTAAAATCTGCATTTGGTTCTCTTATGAAAAAAAGTAGAGCAACTACCGCTACTGAACAAAGCTCAGTTAACGAGCTTACTTTGTATCTAACATTGAATGTTGATTATGAAGTTGGGGATGATTTTGACGTTCTTAAGTGGTGGAAGGACAATGAAAGAACGTTCCCGATTTTATCAAAACTGGCTAAGCAAGTGCTAGCAATGCCGATATCAACATTTGCCGTGGAACAAGAATTTAGTGCGGCCGGCAACGTCCTAACTGATTATAGAACGAGGTTGAGCCTGAGCTCTCTTGAGACGCTAGTTTGCTTCCATGATTGGTTGAAGGCCAAACGAAGAACTCAAGAAATGACCATCGCTCCCACCCGCCACTTTATGGAGGAAACAACCACCGAAGGCGGAGATTCCGATTGATTTTTTATTTCAAAATGTATTACATATTTTAAATGCATCCTAATTCTCAATTGTACTTCTTATTTGAAATAAATATACTTGAATTATTTTATATTATTGTGTACATCAATTCAATAATTCAATTCAATAAAATTCATTTGTAAACTTGTACTTCATATGTAGCACTTCTCAAATTAATTAATTGGTTACAATTTTACAAACTTATAACTTACAACTTGAAATTATTTTTGTAAAATCTAAAGGCTGTTTTTAAATTAAAATATGTAATATTAATATGTAAATTAATTAATTTGTTACAAACTTACAAGTTACAACTTATACACCTATTTTGTAACATTTGTAAATTATAAATCAAATCACTTTTCTAAGTAAAAATAGTTTTACTTAATTAAAAAATTAAAAACATTTTCCTTACACAATATGTATAATTTTCTAAATAATATCACTTTCCTTACACTTTTCTAAATCAAATCACTTTTCTAAGTAAATTATACACAATATGTATAATTTTCAAAAAAAAAAAAAATTAAAACATTTTGAAGTGGGAGATTGCTCCCAAACGGCTATATAGCCGTTGGGGCTTAGGGTGGGGGGCAGGGGGGTCGCGGGGGGTGGTGGGGTGGGGGTGGGGTTCAAAAAAATCTATAAATACATCTATTTTCTACCATTTTCTACACCTCTTCTCCAACTCTTCTCCATCTTCATCTTCTCTTATTATCCTACATTTCTACTTATACATCTACCATTTTAAAGATGGAAAGTAATTCTTCTGTTATGCAAAACAACTTTGATAAGTGGAAGGACCCGAAGACCGGACTGTGGTGGGCAACTTGCAAGTGGTGCAAGAAAGAGTGTTGCTTGGGGCGTTCACACGGAGTCGGGATGCCAATGAAACATATGAAGTCATGTGACAAAGGTAAAACAACAACCAACGGTGGCGGAAATCCCAATTGATATTTATTCGAAAATGTATTTCATATTGTTATTTTTTCTTCAATTCTCAAATGTACTTCCTATTTCAAATAAATGCACTTGAATTTTGTTTTTAATAACAATTATTATAATTATATAGTATAGAATATAAAAAAAATTAAAAAGACCGGCCCGAACCGGGCCCGTGAACCGGGCGGGCGGCCCGAACCAGACCCGGGGTTACCCGGGCCGGTTCCGGGCCTCCCAAACCGTGAACCGAGGCCCGGCCGGTTCAAGGCCCGAACCGGGCCCGACCCGAACCGAGTCCGTGTCTAATATAAGGGGTGATTTGCACTTTTTAAGTTAGTTCGATGGCTGATTTGTAGAGCAAGTTTATAGTATATATTTTTGAGGATTCCACTAAATTATGTATCTAAAATTGTTTGACGGGTTTTACTAAAGTAATTTTTTAATACATTCAATGTCGTTTTGTGATAATGGAAGACTTCTAATAAAAGATTGCGTTTTTGTGATATTTAATCATTCAATTTTAGTGAATTTATATGATAAACAAACGCTATATATGGGACCCATTTTATGAAGCTTGACTCAGGCCTGACTTTAGGTAGTACTAAAATCTAGCCTTAGATCGGGTAAAACTCAATTGTGCCAATAAAACCCAACTTCTTTGATCTATGCGATTACGGTACCAACTCAATTTATAGTAAAAAATTGTGCAGTATGTCACGCATCACATCCAACTAGACTCATACCAAAAACATTCAAAGATGATGTTAGCTAGTTCGTTTTCTTTAATGTGGTTCACTGGTTCATATTTGTATGTATATTAGTTTTTATATCGTTATGTCACCGACTCACCGTTGACCAGACTATCCCCATGTCAGTCTCGCTAACACACTGATTCCAGGTTTGCCCATGATCTCAATCACTTGACTGGGTCGATTCCCAGTCTCGTTATGACAACACAGGGTTGGAGTGAAAATGGTGTTTTTTACTTATTCATTTAATTGAGTACTAATAACCAGACATTTTGGAATGAGAGGAGCAGAATATGGAACTGGAAATAACTGTGAAGTTAATCTTGTTCCAGCCTTTCCATATAACCTATGCTTTGTTTTACATTTGGGGAAACTAAGGCCGGCAGGTCTATTACTACTATATTATGAAAATCTTCACCAAATTCTAAAGGCCTTCCCGAACTGAAAATGAATATATGCTGAGGTCGATCAGGCGTAATCATACATTAGCCCTTGGATTTGTTGGAGCTTGAAGATGGTAATTTTTTATCCTGTGAAGATCAAAGGAGCTCAGTCCAAATTTCAACATCATTATGAAGTACTGAAAGACAAGCTTAAATCAGATTATATTCAATCCATGCATGCCCATATTCAAAGAGATGTGCACAAACACGCATATAACAGAGAAGGCCTCAAAAGAGTTTCGGAACAAATGAACACAATGCCCTTGGTCCAAACAATTTAGGGGTACATATATGTTTTCTAATGTAGAGTTCAAGGGCATATTTATTCCAATTAGAAATAATTACATAAATATGACCAAAATAAAGATGGTTTACAAAAATATGATTCATTACTAGAGTAGTAATGAAATCATAGTAATTCATGTTCAAGTTTTGAACTTTAATTACCACAGCACTACATTGTAGTAATGAACAGTCATATTTATGTAAATGAGTTTTATTTTAGTAATATTCTTATAAAAAACCCAAGATTTATTTTTTCCTTCTCCCTAGATAAAACCACCAGAAAACACAATTTACAACACATTGAAAAAAGAGATTGCTAAGACAATACTAATTACGGAGTACTTCAAAATAGAAAGAACCAATTGTCATCTTACCTTGGGAGCTTTCTTCCATTTCCTGTTAACCCAATCCTGGTGCTGCCGCAAATCAGCTTGCTTAAACGTCAATTCCTCTTTAGTGTTGCTGAAGTAGACAATGTATTTATTGTTACCTCTAAGAACTTTATAGATCGTCCCTACCCACCATCCGTCATTATACAGAGCATCTACTCTATCAAAAACTTTGAAGCTCTTAACTCTGCCAGTATCAGGAGGACATGGCCGTATATGCATATGATCAACCTCTTCTTGCACAAACGCTGTGTCGTCATCATTCCTTAAGCTCTGATACTCTACCATGTAATTACCACTGTCTAGTTGTTTTACGACAGTAGCAACAAACCAAGCACCATCGTAACCCTCTTCATCACTGCTTACTTCGACCATCATTCCTTGATGGAAAGTTTGTTGACTAATATCATTGTCAGGTTTCTCCTCTTTTGATATTTTATTTTCCTGCATTGCAAGATACGAATTAACATCTAGCCAGAAAAATATTGAGAACAAAAAGGTCAAGGAACAAAATAAAAGGAAAACAGTAAAAGCCCATAACATTTTTACATATTCTTAACATCCAATCTCCGTTACAGGTCTACTTATTAGACCAGAATGCAGGGAAGTTGTGCATGAAGGGAAAAAAAGTGCAACAAGTGAATTGTTTTATCTTGTGTACATTTCATACAACCTTACCCTTAACCCCACCCCCTGATTTATTAGCTATACTATGTTAATTTTTGGACAACTCTCCCCACAAACCTATACTACCTCCACCAAAACATAAATAGTATTGAAGTACTAAATGTTACAATCACCTTTCTTATATAGAAACTGAGTTTATTGAATTAACTTTTAGCCTTAACTAATTTTGGGAAATTAATAGAAATTACAAATTTCATGTCACCAATCTCAATGTAATTGAGATTAAAGTGTAGATGATAATGATTTCTATTAATGTCCAAGTATACGATTTATTGTTAAAAGGTTTGATTAAAACTTTTAATTCACAGTTCATTCGTCAACACCTCCAATTCCAGTGGATTCCTAGGGAGCTATTTTGCAGCTCATCGGGCCAAATGTTCTACAGTTTTGGATATTGGAATGTCACACTGATGGGTTTGGGTTTGCTTGCAGCCTGGACCCATATTGACTTCCTTAACTTAAAAGGATTGGCCATTGCTTGCTCTATCAAGCTCGAATAAATTTTATCAAAATACTTCAATGGCTTACTACGTTTGTGCCTTCAACTTGGCATACTCATCATCTAAACATGTCAAACTTCTACGAAAGCTAATTTACTGTGGGCTGACATGAGTCTGCAATGAAACCAAGTTTTTTGGAAGTTCTTTGAAATTTTGAATTGCTTGCTCTTATAACCACTAAACCTAAGATCATAAGCTAAGCTCATCCCTAAGATAAACTATAGAATAAAAAGGGAAACTGGAGAGACTATATGGAAAACATCACTCTAGAATACAAAATAATCAACAGCAGATTGGGCAAAGGTTAACTTGAAACTTGAAAAGTTTAAAGTAGGGTTCGCAGTGAGTCATTTCAGATAGATTATAACTTCCAAAAAACTTTGGTAAATAAGGTATGTAAATTTTTATGATGTGTATATGATACTTTAGACTTTAGAGTGTGAACTTGGTGTGTTGTGAGAAAACTTATAGGGTATATATAAGCTATGTGGAATCCTTAGCTGAACTAGGGTCTTTAAGGATAAACTAGGAAATTCGTCACTGTTATGAATCTTTTCATCTTAGATTGTGCTTCGAGGACGTAGCATCCTTTAAGGGAGTAGAATGTTATACCATAAAAAAATCAGATATAATCAATCCGATAAAACTAAAATAAAATTAATATTAAGGATGAAATAAGTAACGTTATCAAGACTCAAATGATATGAAAATACATAAAAATAAAGGTATCTTCTATAAGACCGAGACTGAAAGGTTGTATTTTTACACAGAATAGAAGACAGATTACAAATCACCAATAGAGATTACAAAGGTTGTAGCTTCTATAATAATACAACCTTTTCGGCTTTTTGCATTCTTTTACAGAGTTATTTTTTATTTTTAAGCAAAACACCATGTCTTAAATGAGATTACAAACCTGAGCTTAAATCTAACATGGCTAGATAGTTACAAAAAGTTGTAAGAGATGACAAAATCTAAATGACATAACCTAAACTACGCGCGTTAAGTGATGAAGTTCCTGACAACTGCATTCTAGGATTGGACGTTGCTCTCTAGCAAGACTCTAGCATGATAGCACCAATCAGTGATCTTGTACTGAGCAAGAGTGGTTCAGATGGTGATTGGCTCATCTTTATTCACGGCATTGTTATCTTTGCAGGTCTGCTTCTGAGGTGGGTACAGAGAAAGTTCTTTTGGAATGGTCAAATCATCAGTTTGATTTCCATTTGAGGAAGTCGTTGTCTCAGGACAGCTGCTCTTGCAACAAGAAGGCATGCTGGTTATTGTGTGATAGAGGATATCATACCAGTGGGTTTTGTTGGTGCGAAATTCAGCAGCTCCAAAGAAACTTCGTTACAGGTGGAACTTGAGGCGACCGAAAGTGTCACATGTCAAGGGATCAACCTTGAATCTTTAATTCTCGACTTCAAGTAAATCTATTATTCCCTCTCACCCTCTGTCATGTTACCATTGATGTTGAATGGGTTACCAGTACTCCAGGCGTGATTATTGCAAATTAGCAGTGTCGGGAGAGTGTCTTCAAGAGCGAGGTTGATCTGAACTGGGCGGATGATAAAGTTCACGTGGGTCAGGAAGGCATTACACACCTGTCTGAAATGTGGGCCTGCGGAGTATGGAAGTACTCTGAAAAGGCAGTTGAAGAACATTTTTCAACAGAGCAACGGATGGAAACATAAAGGTCCCAGAACCATGCTCAAACGTAGACGGCAGCTATGTGTACTTTTTAAGCAAAGTAACCTGCTTCCATGTCGAATGACTCAGTGAGTCCATTGAAGTGCAGCTTACGAGAGTTGAATAGTCTTCCACAAATGGTGTGAAGACGCTGAAATAGATCAATGGAGTTCAGGATCACATAACAGCAATATTTTCGCGGATGGTCACGGTGTAAACCAATTTGGTATTCCTCCACGAGTGAATCTGCGATTGGGGATAAATCAGACAGCAGGAGAGTGGTTCTCAAAATAGCGATAGGCTGTAAAGACAAAGTGTCCTTTTCATGCTCCTCTGAAGGGGGGTCGGATTCACACTAATCGATGCTAAAGAAGCCATATTGCTAATGAAATTAAGTAAAATGAAACTCTCAGAGTTCTTTGTTGAATTGAACTCTGAGGGGTTGAGAGCCTGTTTAGCATGCAATAAAAATATTGTTATTTCAAGCTTTTGGAAAAAATCAAGATGGCAAACAATTTTTGGTGCCAAGAATTTCCTGTTAAGATCTGCAGAATTGAATCAGGTTTGCCGATTCATTCATTCTTCTTGTGATATAAACCATAACTGTTATGAGAGTTGCATAGAAAAAACTAGACAAGTCCGTGGATCACCAAAAAAACTCAGGCTAAGAAGACATAAATACGTAGCAAAGATGTGCATACAGATATATGTATAAGTTGTTTGCATAGTCTACCTCAGCATCTCCATCCCCCAAACGCGGGATCCATTCTCCGTTGGCCCACTCGCGGTGGAGACGGAGGTCCGATCCAGCGAAATCCAGCTGCTCCCTGGTTGCCCTGAAGAACACCGAGTACTTGCCGCCTTCCAGCGCAGCGATTACGATGCCTTCCCACCATCCATCGTTGTAGAAGGCGTCCACCTCCTCGCTGGACTTGAATCTGCGAAGGCCCTCTCGGGGCTGCCGCGGCCGGACTTGAACGATGTCGACTGTCTCCTGCAGAGGCACTTTCCCGGCCTCGTCAGCCATTAGCGTCTCATACTCCACCACGACCTCCACCCGCTTCTCCTTCTTGCTTTGAGTCTTTCTGACTTTTTTTGACACGGCGCGGATCACCTTCCCTTCGTACCATGCGCCGCGGAAGCCATCGTCGTTGCTGCTAATCTCTACTTCCGCTCCGTTCGTGAAGTAGGTGTTCAATATCTCTTCGAAATTGTCTCCCATTGGAATCGAAACGAGGGCTCTGCGCCCGTCCATGGCGGACGAGGATAGATAAAAGAAGGGGTTTATAATTTCTATTCAATGGCATTCTTGATATTCCATTCAACACAACTGTTGTTACGATAAACATTAAAGTGAACTTTTTAGTGAGTCATTTATTATCAAACAGAGAGTTCTATAACACAAAACCTGAAATTTCAAAATTCAATTTTATAATAAAGTTGAAGGGTTTAAATATTACATAAACTCATAAATTTGAAGACTCCGAGTCCATAAAATGGCATCTGCAGTAACCTGGAGTAGGAGTTCCTGCTTTCACTTACAGAGTTACAAAAGCATGATATCACTATTCATAAATGCATAATCTTATTAAGCTATTACACCCTCACAAATTGATGTGCAAAAGATACATGTAAAGACCTTACAACATCATGAATCACAATACAAGATAGTTGTAACCTATTATGGCTGCTAAACTGAGTCACAAATACAATATAGTTGGAGTTTATTATGCCTGCTATACTATATTAAGCCAATTGCCTACGCTATAAATCACTTGGCTTTACAAATAACAATGCCAAATGGACTTGCCTAAAAGAATCATTTTCTTTTTCTTTTGAGGTCAAAAATACCCTCGAAGCATTTATCAGTTATACATGTATACTCTATAACTACTACTGTCGGTATGGTCAAATCTTTGAGAGACCGAAAGCAGCCTGCGGCTAGACCAGAATCTGAGACTTGGCAGCACCACGGGAACACTTCCTCCTCTTTGATTTGCTTAGTGCACAGACACATGTCTCCAGAAGATCCAGGTCCTCTTCCCAGAACAAGAAAGAAGCCATTTCGGGATTTCTCAAGAGCATCTTGGATGTCAGAAAACCAGCTATTGTCCAGGTTTGGTAAAGCCGGGATTGTTTCCCTATGAACTTCCCACTTTTCGTGTCATAATATTCAGGCCAGTGGTCAAGCTGGAGCCTTTTCTCGGCCAACTCAACACCTCTGCTAGCTAAATCTGTTCTCCCCATCTTTAGGCATGCCAGTGTGAACTGAAAGAAATAAGAGCCATGTGAATGAGGCATTGCAGCAGCCACTCCAAGGGGGGTGTATTCATTTTAAAGCTATTTTGTGATACAATTCCTGTGCATTTTCATCGCTTAATATAGTAATCACATTTTAAAAAATCTAGAAGTTATTAAAGTTAATGATTACAACCCCAAACTTCTGTGCAGAAATTTTAGTTTATTTCAAAAATATTACTAGAATAATCACTTAAAGCTTGTTTAAACTCAAAAGTTTGAGGAAAGTAAAACATGGGCTCAATTCCAATAAAATGATTCCACATATTTGTTCAGAAGTCAGACCTGTTTATTTATTAGATTATTTGTATCATATAAACAACAGGCTATCTAAACTTGCATACGAATATTATCAAAATTAATGACATTCCATTTCCCGTTGTATTTACCAAGGAAAAGCCACACATGAAAATATAAGTCTCCATAGCATCTGTGTCCTTTGTCTAGCATTTCATGAGATCCAAGCATACACTTGATGTAGGGGCACAATTAAAACTTCAAGAAAGCTTAGTTACCTGCCAGAGAAGTGTAGGCCAAGATCCCCCATTATGATATGACCAGGGCCTGAAATATCAAAAGGATATAGTCCTAAGTCGATAAGAATTCAAATCTCAGGCAAGCAAGCATGGAACATCAGCCCTTGTTTGAGGAGGAGAAATACGGAAATGAGAGCAGAGGAAGATTAGGATGATTAAATAAAACATTACATTTAGTTCACGAGAGTGTAGGAAGAGGAATTAACATTTTGAAAAATATGTTAACCAAAATGGTGTGTTTGATATAATAAGATAGAACAACAATAATATAGAACATTTTTGACAAACACTAAGGTGAGAGAAATTAAAAACAAGATAACCTCTCAAAAACATCAAGGTAAGAGTAATTAATAAACAAGTTTTTGGTAGATTTTAGAGCTCCCCTGACCAAACAACTGCTAAAAGTTTATTGGAAAACTTACGTATTCTTTGGATCACAACCTGTGATTATACGCCACTCTTCGGACTCTAGAGCAGGATAACATATCTTAAGAGGCATCTGACCCGCAAGATCATCCCACTTAGCATCCATCAAGTTTAGGATAGCTGCATTTTGTTTTGGGGTACCAAGAGACGAGACAATTGACCAAAGGTTTCCTAGTGTGAAGAACCTGAAGTCCATGTGAGCTGGCTGTAAATTCCCAATGAGATAGCCTCCTTCCTCCGGAATCCAATCCATTAACCAATTCGGAATTTGTTCAGGGTAGATATTGAACTTGTTAGTGGCGTCTGTGGAATACTCTTCTGTCTTATATCTGTATATTTCATTTATCTTCTTCATATCAACCCAGTAGTATTCCCTTATGTGAAATGATAAAGCGCTAAGCCTGTTGCTGACAGCTCTCACCAAATTCTTTGATCCTTCATCTGAAGCAAGCATTTCACGGGCGCACCTAAGAGCCGAGTAAAATAAGGCCTGTACTACATAAGTGTTATTCTGAATTGAATTATTATGACAAATATTTATAAAAATATAAGCTTAGAGTGGATGGCGCCACCCAACTGCTCAAAATACTACCCCCAATGAAGCCTTATAGAAAAACATCAGACATAGAATATTACTACGTAATATACTAAGGAAAAAAATGAAGGCTAGAAAATAAATATGAAGCTCAAACGGTTAAACTCAATGAATTCGCTCGAGAAATATTAAGAAGCTCATTTTTATTTGTATAATGTCAAGACTAAGAAATCTAGATACAAATCTAAAAATTTATGAAAAATAGTTGTATTTTATTTTTCTTTTGTAATTTCCAAAGTAACCCACATAAAAACAAAAATACACTTTATAAAAAAAAGATGAAAACAAATGCCTTAATGCAGAGAAACACTAAAATTTATATTTAAAAAACCAGACCAGAGCAGCCGGGTCGACTCGGACCAAAAGCTTGTTAGACAGTGAAAACCCCAGAAATGGGTAAAAACTAGAAAAATCAGGCTATCCCGGAAAACCCCAGTTTCGGACTGTTTTTCAAAACAATTGATTTTAATATTTTGTTTTAATTATTTTTAATCTAATAAAACCACAATCCCAATCCCCACATTATCATAAAAAGAAAAACTATGTGATATATTTGTATATTTATTTAACAATGAAATTCATGTCAAATTATAATGTAAATGTACAACACAAATAACAATATTGATTCTAACAGGAATAAAATTATATTTTGGAATATTATGAGAGTATTTTAAATGCTTGCGATGTATTATAATTATTTAATTATTATAAAGAATAAATACCTTTTATTTTAATTATATATAATTATATGTTCATTATTATAGTTATATTGATGTTCACCGGTTTTCCCACTGTTGACCGGATTGACCCGTTGGGTCCGTGTTGACACGTGACCCGGTCATTTGGCTGAGTTGCTTTGTGGTCTGGTTTTTAAACATAGAATAAAATAGTAAAAACAAATGAGGTGCCACAGAGGATAATCCTAAAACTGATTTAACTATTAATTACTTGAATCTCAAGCGGATGGCCATGAATCCCCATCCGTCGGTCTATCATGCAAGATCCATCAGTTACTAGCAAAGAAGGAAACATATCAAAGCCATCAGACAAACACAAATTCAATATTAGTTTAATGCCAGTCTGTACATCCACTCGTTCCTGCAAAGCATAGTCACCAGTGATCTTCCCATATGATCTCAACAAGATAATCCACCACAAGCCTATCAAAGTCACGAAGTAAACATCATTTCAGCATTCGTTTATGATCTGACTACAATGAAACTAATCTTTATTTTGAGAGTTTTCTAAAGCGCTTCTATTTTAAAATTCTTTCAAGATTTTCCCCAATGAAAGAACATACAGAAACAAGTCAAAGAACCCTATAGACACGAGTTAACTGAGAAAAGCCTTAATCACAACCAAGTCTCAACCAACTAAGAATTGAAAAGAAGCATGACAATACATGTGATTTGGTTTATTAACAACTTTTTGGCAACCAATGGAACCAAAAACGTATAAGGTAACCTGAATCAACAGGTGCAACACGGCCAATTGCTGATTCCCCAAAATCGGGATCAAGAACTTCTTCAAACGTGTTTTCATCAATAGCCACTGTCCTCACTTTAAAGCTTGCAGGCATCAGCCCTTGCCCTGGACTGTAACAGTCAACTGTTTTCTCCCAACTCTACATAAAAAAATATATGTGTATCTAAATTAGGAAAGGAAGAAATCCAAGGACATCATTTCCTAAATACATAAGCTAATGAGGATAAGAGCATTAAAATAACATCAACCAATCCACCATATTTGAGCAGATCAATCACTCATATAGATAGTATGTCATATCAATCTCAGTAGTCCTTTACTTGATTTCCCATATGCTTGTCATGTTCCATGCAAGCATCGCTAGAAGGTGTTATATGCAATGACAGATTGAAAGTTGTGTCAATCTAACACCTGACCATTGTTAAATTATAATTCCCTCTCTGTTACAAACAAACTGCATTTGACGGTATTCTCGAATGAAAGAACACAAGATTACCTGTAGTTGCAGGGTATGAAGAAGAAAATGTTTCACTATATCATTTTCCCCTTTGAGTAAAAATGCAAGGGCTGATGGAACAAAATCCCTTATGAACACTTGATCATAATTAAGGGGTAACTTATCATTAGGATCATTTGCAGCCAATGTCCCAACTGGACTCTCACAGTACCTAACAACAGCTTCTTCCAGCAACTTCCATGCCTCCTTTTCAGCCTCAGATTCATCTTTAAGGTTATTCACAATGGCACTTTTTTCAACTTCCAGTCCATCAAAATGCTGACTTTTTTCAATCCTCTCACCATCAGGAAAAGCATTTTCAGCCTGGCCAATCTCCTCCTCTACCACCACCACGGGCTTCACATTAAGCCCTCCCTGAGAATAGATTCTATCGAAACTCTTATCGTTAGCCCTGGGTCCGAAGGAGGTGGAGAATTCCCGAACATTAGCAGCAATACTGGAAATCAAATGGAAACGCTTACTACTACAAGGCCTCCAGAGATCCCTCGGTTTACCCCAATTCAAACGCGGAACATACAATGTCTGGTTATGGCACCCACGATTTAGGCCCCCGCATCCCGACAGGGGTGGCAAGCAGGGGTGAAACGCCCTGATATTTGAAGAAAACTCCAACATGGACGTGCCGCTCCGACGGATCAGAAATCGAAAACACGGCTTCGTAGCCACGAGTTTCATCGCAAGGCACAGCCCGAATTGGTAACAAGTAAAAATTACGCAGTCAAAACACAGACAAAAAAGAACAAATCTTTGAATTTTGTGATGGATAAAATCCAGTTACATAGACAGATGTGTCGAATTAGCGGATCTGAAATGTGGTTTGAAGAAACATTGATAGATCCGTGGGTTGAGAATTCGGATTAGGGTGTATATATATGGGGGGAAATCTTGAGGATGAGATTTTGCGGGAAGAGATTCACGAAAGGAAACTTGCAGAAGAAGAATGAATGGCGTATAATATGGGGAGAAGACAGAAGTTTGCAAATTTGAATGGAGTACAATAAGATGTTAGTTTTTTTTTAAGATATGGTTTGGCAGTTTGGAGAAAGAAGTTAAAATGGTTGTTTTTAAATGTCAGAATTCGTATTTTCAAAATTAATGGCAAAAATTGTTTAAATTAAGAGCATCTCCAATGCTAAAACGTTAACGGTGCATACGTGGTATGATAGATAGCCAATCAAAAAACAATAAATAAAATATCTCTCTCCTTATTTGAAGGATTTATATCATTTTGGTAAGTTTTTCTTCACAATGTCAAGCACAACGTCTAGATGTAGACACTGTGATTGACATTGCAGAGAAAAACTTACCAAAAACACAAAAGACCGTGGAAAGACGGAGAGAGAAATGTCTTAAAATCAATCTTTTGTGTCTATATCTCTCATGCCACATGTGCACCGTGCACGTTGTAGCATTGGAGATGCTCTAAGTATTCCCATCATTCTCTAATGGCTTACTTTGGCTTAATACATTAAAAAAATCTAACGTTTAGAGTTTGTGACAAAACTAGTCTATCGTATACATAATTACTTAAAAGCATCCATCGTTTTAATATCACAGAAAATCTATAATCCGTCTAAGCTGATTTATTTGGATCCGTTAAGTGCCTATGTGTCTTGTACACCTAGGATTTAGTCTTCTAATCTATTAGTTGATGTGTCATTTCTAATATTTATTTCTATGTAAAAACGTAGATTTATTTCTCTTCTTTGAGTTGATAACACAAACCCTACCTCTGATAATTACGCTACTTCTACAATGAAAACTCACAACAAAGAATGTATCAAACCATTGAATAGCAGCAACAGTAACATGGACATGGAGGACGCTTTAAAGAGTTGTGATGTTGTTGATGGGCCACGTTGTAAGCACGGGTGCCATACAACATTTTATGTTTCTCAAACTAGCAAACATCCGGGGAAAAAGTTCTTCAAGTGCCCATATTGGTAGGTGAGGTTTGTTTGACATAGTAGTAAGTTGATTCTTATATAGCATAGTAGGTGTTTGATGAAATGTTTAAGTGAAGTATAATGATTTTCAGGTGAAAGTGTGAAACAAAAGGATTGTGGATATTTTTTATGGATGGAAGACCTGCACCAAGACGTCATTGAGTCTCTAGTGAAGCACATTGATGAACTACATGAAATAAATACTTCTTTAAATGATAAGGTTAAGGAATTGGAACTGAAATTGAGAAAGTTTGAAGAAATGATGGTTACCGAGTCCAATAAAAGAAAGAGGATGAAGGAAGAAATTCAACAAGTAAAAGTTGCATATTCTCACATGGAGTCTCAAAAACCTATCTCCAAAAACAACAATTGGAGGGGTAAATGGATGGATGTTCTCATGACTATCTTTATTGTTGGTCTTCTGGTGTTGGCTGTTTTGGTTGGAAGCATATCAATGGTAATGCAAATGGTGTTCCGGTTCATCCAAGAAGATAGATTAATAGGAGCCGTTAACTTACGGAAATGTAGTGTATTATGTGTAATGTATTGTGTATAGGGTAATGTAGTAGTGTTTTATGTAATTCATTGTTATATAAAAATCAGCCCAGATTTATTTTGATTTTGTTATTTGACATTTCGTTATATGAGAGAACCATGTGTTGAGTTAAAAAGAAGAATTCTTGCAAGTTCTAGCCTGCATAAATTATACTACGTAGATTTTAGAAGACACTTGATGTTGCCAGATATATTAACACTTGGTTAATTCTTCTGTGTTGATCTGGAATTTCGAAAAACCATTGTAACGTTTTGTGCATTTGGGTTATATCTAAATGAAAGCATTTGCCGATCTTCCTGTTTAATATACTACACCTGAATGTCAGTACTCACAATGTACATTAAAATATCAAGGTCTCATACAAAATGACTAAAACATTATATGGCTCCAAAAGATTAAATTTCAATAACATGTATGGTTCCGAAATATCTTAAAGATCTTGAACATATATCCAGCCTTCAATTTTGTAAAGTACTCCAACTAAACTGGTATGTTGCTTTCCATGGTAGTGTGCGTTCCTTCCATGGAATGTGCACCTTCTTATTTGGGCCTGATGCAGCCTTCATTGAATGCCTGGGGTGTTTTAGCGGTCTTCCTCTATTACCCTTGGTAATTGTTCCAGCAGGTTGTTGAGTACTTGATTTCAGGGGCCTGCCTCTTTTTCTCTGCAAGTTAAATTTCAGTTAATGTATCTTCATTATTAATATGTAGTTTCAAGCTAGGATTAATATGTGGTTTGTTATCTTCATTTTTCTCCAGTCATTCTTCATCTATTGATGCATTTAAGATATGTAGTATTAGTTGCGGCAATTTGAGAACTCACACCACCAAGAGGTTGACCTGCTTCTTTTGGTACTTCAGATTTTTTTTCTTGCACATATATATCCACTATGCCTTGCTCACATGCTATCTTTACCATCTTCACAAACTCATTAGATCCCTTTAACAAGTTACCGGCAATAGGGAGTGTTTGATGGACTGCTTTATAAGCCATCATAACAGGTTCCTTAAAACCATTTTCTTGAAGAAAATTTAATATATTAAACTCACAAAACAAATCTGGGTCCTCCTCCCATTTCTTTGTCAAACATTGTACCTCACCGGCATATCTAATTGGTTCCTCACTAACAAAAACTCCACCCAAATGAAAGCAAATTCCAAACGATATTGCCATTATGCACAATCTAGAATGAAGTAAAAGTACAACATGAAACAAAGAAAACCGAAAGAACTAATTCTTAGGTCTTATATAAATGGAAAGAAAAAGTAACAATAAAAAACTTATTGGCTAAGTGCAGGTATATTCATCTTTTTTTTGAAAGTACGAATTTCCTCAGCATCATTTCATTTGCTTGGGCTTAGTGCAATCATATTTTTCAGCAAAAAGATTCATTTTATGGAATTTTGGGTATAATGACTTAAGAAATACCATTCAGTCATTTTTACAAACACCTATTGTGTAAATGTTCGGCTTCAATCTAAACTTTTACAAAACTCTTGTCAATTTAAGTTTCAGGAAGCAAGATGGAGTAGTAATTGATGGCAAAAAATCTGGCTTCAATGTATTAGGAGTAGTTCTGGATAGCGGCAGTGATATTAACTAAAAATTGGAGTTAGCGACATAAGTCATAACTATGGATAAGTAAAGTGGAATTTTTAAATTTCAATACCTGGTAGTGAATACCTTTTACAATTCGAAGCAAACACCTTTGATTTATTTTTGAGAAGCAAGTTTCTTTTTAAACCCATGCATATGAGAAGCTTCTTTGAGTTTGACTGGTAAGGTTGGATTTTACCAACAAGAAGACTTAAGGGTGGTTAACGAATCAAAATATTAGAGTTTGAAATAGAAAAACACATTGGATGATAAATCAGAAAATTAGAGCTTCTTTCGCATGCCAGGTAAGCAACCAACGGAATAAAATGGACGGAAGAAACATATCATAATTCGGTCTTGGATATTAAAACGGTGGATGTGTTTAAGTAATTATATATACGATAGACTAGTTTTGTCACAAAATCTAAACGTTGGATTTTTTCTGTGTATTAAGCCTTCTCTAATACTTGTCTCTGTTATCATTTTGGGATGTTCTCTAATATTTGTATCTCTTTCCATTTTTAGAATGTTTTTTTAATAAATATACATATATACTCTCATTCTCTTTCCTACTTTTTCATTCTCTAATATATGTTTTTCTCACTACACATTTTTACACTACCCCTATTATTTTCCTCTTAAAACTTGTGTCAAACCCTATAGAGACATCTAATAGAGAACGAAAGGAGTACTTTTTCTGGAAAAGCAAAACAAATTTATTAGTGATAAAAGTAATAAACAATAAATCAATATTATAGCTCAAGGCTAAAATGAGACATATAATTGAAAAGCTTTTAAAGATCAATCAAATTGCTAATCTCGCATCTATGAAGTCTAATCTAAAAGTACTACTCAACTTGCTACTCGAATGGTAATTAAAAGAATATAAATGTCTTGAAAGTAAGAGCAATAAAGTAACTCAATCAAATTAGTTTGACCGGCCAACCACGGGAAAGGGAGAAATTTTTTTACCACCAAACTTTAAGGAAATGGTTCCTGGCTCCTACCCTATCAAATTAAGTACTTAGAAACTAAAAAGCGAGAACATGTGAAGATGTGAAAAACTGAAAGCATGTGAAGATGTGCTTTAGACATCTTTTCATTTTATATTACACAAAAACACTTCTTTTACCAAAGGCTATCGCCTTTTACATTTCCAATTTTTTTTCCACAAATGTTACCAACTTTTACTGTTAAGCAATTTCTATAAATTCAATTTATAAAGCGGAAGCAATCACAAACACTCCCTAATGTTCTTTTTTTTTATCCCGGAGATGAGCACTCATGGTGGGGGAAGTGAGCGGGAACACTTCCTTAAGTTATTAATAAGAATTATTAAAGGTACAAGGAAGAGTGAGAGAGTTGAACAAAGAGGAAAACATTAGCAAACAAAAAATTTTGTAGGTATCCCAATAGAAACTGAGATGAATCTATTGTATTTATTGTGACATGTAATTAATTGCCTTCTAAAGATAAGGCTGGTACATTTTCGCCTCCGGGTGGATTCTATTGCAACGTTTGAGTGCCTCAACTAATTTGTATGGTGAATCAAACCTTCCATCAACTAGGTATAAAAAGTAGCCACGCCCATTTTGAGAGGTTCGGGATATATTTTGTGACATTAGATATTTTGTGATGTTTAAGAAGAAAATGATCGGGATAATATAGACAATGTAAGGTAAATAAAAAACAGTAGGAAATTGCTTATGCTAAGAAGGGGAAACTAATGGAGAAGTGTGAAATTAAACATAGTTTATAAAAAGTAAAAAATGTAAATGTAATAAAAGTTTGGGTATAATGGTATTTTAATAGGAAAAACATACTAAAACGTAAAGGTGAATAAGAAAAAAGTTCCCAAAATAAAAATATGTTACAATTAAATAAGGAGATTTATTTGTTAGAAGAAGTATGAAAAAAGAACATGTGGTTTTGTGGTTTGGTATAAGAGTCTCAAATTAATTGTCTCACAAATTCGAGATTGTGTTTTCAACCCATTAGCACTTGTGGGAGCCAAGGGCTACTCCTGTTTTTTCCAAAGAAGCTCAAGTGTAGCGCGTTATACAAATATTAGCCAAATGAAATCTAAGCAATAAAGCGACAAATTAGTAAAGAGGGATTGGAAGTTTTCCCTACAACTAAAAGTGGAGTCATTGGAGAAGACAATTGAAAGTACATCAATGTCAATTAAATATGTATTACTACAAATTAACAAAAATATATCAATACATCATTTACCGTTCTACAAATCTTGTTAATACTTTTGATTCATTTGAATTTGGGTGTGTCTAGGTAGAAGTGATAAATGAATGATGTAATGTGTGAAAGTGTATGATTGAATGTGAGGCTTCATTTTTGTGAAACTCATTATCAATGTTTGTGTGTATTTGTTTTTAGGGGGTGTTTGGATCTGATTATATGAATAATTAAGAATATAGAATAATCCTTTGTGATTTCGTTCAGTCTTGATAAATTAAATCCAAAGGTTGAAGAACGTTCGAAGATCTGAAGAACGAAGCTCGAAGATTCAAAGATCTGAAGAACAAGACTTTGAAGATTCAAAGATATGAAGAAGGAATCTTTGAAGATTTGAAGATATTCATATAAAGATTGAATCAAAATTCAATTGAAGATCAAGCCATATATCCTGGGAGGCCCTTTAACAGAAGATCAAGCCATAAAACGGTCCTTTTGTTGAAGATCAAGCCACTTGAAAATCGAAGGCCCTTCAAACTGAATTCATTAATCAAGAATATTTGAAGATCCGAAGAACGAAGATTCGAAGATCTCAAGAACGAAGATTCGAAGCTCCAAAGAACGTTCGAATATTTGAAGTATTAGAGATTTAATTTTGAATTAAATTCTTTAATTATATTTACTTCAAATTGCAAGTGAAGAATCAGAGGATTTATATTTAGAGATTGTACCCAATATTCTCACATATTATTATTTGCAATCGATTTTAAGTTAATACTTAAAATTTGTTTCACATCATGTTCTAAATTGAGTTGATTGTAAGTTTTGTTAATGAACATGTGTCGTTATTAATAACTACCATCAATGAATAGGAAATACTCCATGATTGAGTATTTAAGAGGAATATAGTTAAAGACAATATATTCATACTCCGTAAAATTTTCTACTATATACGAAGTATGTAATATTTTCATACTCCGTAAAATTTTCATACATTAAATAAATATATATATGTGTTTGCTACCATTAACTTTTTAGTTTTCAAAATTAATATATAGCCTTACATAACGTAGTATTTAATTGGTGGTTTGAAAGAAGAAACATCTAGAATAATACACATAACTTAAATAAATAAACAATATAACAATGACGTGCACTTTGTCGTGAGTGCACTCAAAATAAATTCAATACTAACACTTATACGTAGTATAGGTGAAGTAGAGTTTGTATCCACAGGGAAAGGAATAATTTATCTTTTTAACGAAAGGAGTAAATAAAGGGGGGTTTTGGGTTGAATGATTTAATTAA